ATTACGTGTTTATAGGTCACAACATATTTTTCGATCACATATTATCAAATTAATTGGTTACAAATCATTTTTCGATTACAAAAATTTTTATAGATCACAATTCATTTTTTGGTCACAAATTTTATAAGCCACAACTTATTTCACGATTACAAATTTTATAGGTCACAAATTATTTCAAGATTACAAATTTATCAAATTAATTGGTCACAATTTACTAGATTTTGAACCACAATTAGAAATTTAGTTACAATCATGTATTCTTTTAGGTAACGTATTATCTACTAGTCACAAATAAACAATTTATTGGTCACAACACTCTTCCCACCACCATCATGAACACCGTCGACTCCAGAATCACCATCACCTCACCACACCACCTGCAACACCACCACCACACCACCACGCCCACAGCATACCACCACCGTACACCGCACTACCCACAGCACATCACCGCTGCCACCATCTCTTCTATCTCCATTTACGCTACGCCCAACCACCACCCCACCAAAAAATTCACAAACTCGTCGTCCCCACCACCACAGCACACAATTACCGTCTGCACTACCAACACCTCAAAAACTACAGCAAAACATGTCGAAAAATCACCACAAAAGCCACCACACAACACCACAAAATCACCAAAGAAACCTTCGCAAGCGGCGCTATGATCTGTAACACTGGAGAAAAGTCCAGATCGTCACTATGATCCACAGCGCCAGAGAAAGTTTAGATCCACAAGTGGCATTGTGACTAGGCAAAACCACTGAGGTGCATTGCACTGCTGCCCCTCAACTCCGATGTGCAAAGCTAGTTTTGCTCCGCAACTTCGCGTCTCAAATTCATCGACGCTGTGACCATCCGATAGCGCATCCACTTAGGCGGAGTGGCAAAGTTGCGCATCCATAGAGATGAAGTGGGGGCTAAGCCTCCGATACCGCGCCTCAATGCCGAGTTGTTATGTTGCAGGAAAATAATAGAAAGGGAAATTAAGGTTTGGGGTGAACGAAGGTGGATTGGGTGGGTTGCATATATTAATTTTAAGGGAAAAATTCACTTTCCCTACTTTATCTTTACCCTATTTCAAAAATAACAAACAACTTTTACATTTCAAAAATCAGAAATTTTGATTTATACATACACATTTATATAAATATTTATTTATACATATAAATATATAAAAAATATAAATAAATAAATAAATATATAT